GTTCCAAATCCAAAATTTTTATTACTCCCTTTCCTTCCACCAGCAGCCGTAGAGGAATCCCTTGGCGACCCTCCCCTCTCTCCACTCCAACCCCTCACACCATAATTACTGTTCACCACCCAAATTCTGCCCATTTCATCTTCCAAAACCGGACGTTCGAGTGAGGGGGGGGGGGGTGCTAGAGCCAATTATGGCCAGAGAAACTTGCAACTGTTTTAATTTTGTCTATCCAAGCTTCATTCGTGTAGTTTTTGCCAAAACACGCCAAACATGACCCCTTGATTTCCAAAAATGTAGCCCTCTCCTTTTCAACCGTTTGTCCTTCTCTCCCAAATGGTCTCCCCTTCAAAAAATCTAGTACGACATTCTTTTGAGAATTGCGCAATGTAGGGTTGACCCTGTTTGCGGGCCGTACTCGCGCCGCTCGCGCCTCTGCACGCCCACCGATAGGTAACCCCTCGCCGTCTGACTCTAGCCGTTCAGCAGAGAGAGCATTAGCGTTGAAGAGGGCATCACGATGAGAGTCGCAATCAAAGAACAAGGGAAGGGTCCTTTGCTCGGCTTTTGATCCGTTTCTCATGACTTTTTCCTTCATCTCCCCACCGCGGATCGCAGCGACCTTGATTCTAATGGCCCCTTTGGTGGTGATTTTGGCCTTTAAAAATCGCAGAATGCGCTGTCTTGTTACCGGTAGCGCTCCTGGTCGGTAACATAGAGGTACAGGCTGGTCTTTCGATTGAAGGAAAGTGTTGTGCTCATAGATCGGCTACCCTGGGATACGTCCTGCACCTTGTGAAAAACAGTAGCTAACAAATCTCGAGTGCGTGAGACCATGAGAATTCCAGGCGCTTATGGCCTTGGGGGACATCAAAATAGGGTTTCTGAAAACTTCGATGAGGTGTCATTGGGACTACGCCCAGGAGAGTGGGTAAAGGCCAGAGGGAGTAGTAGCTCACATCCTTCCCCAAAATACTTGGTCCTTTTTAAGGCTTTGTCTCAAGCGCTGTGACTTACTCAATTGAATGTCTCTCCTAAGGATATGATCGCCTATTTTCATATTCTATGTAATGCCCCTAGGATAGCACTTTTAAAAGCTACTTTGATGCTAACCTTTCACCAATTCCAGCAGAATGTACAATGGCTGTTCATCCACCGCTACACCGTACAACCGTACGATGTTCCGATGTTTAAAATTACGGATTAGCCGGGCTTCTCTCATCATTTCTTTGATTTTTGCTTTACTCATTTCTCCTGTCCCTTTTGCCTGAAAGATTCAGTGGTGTTTAAGGCCTTTGTAGATATTCTGGGGTGGATGGTAACCAAGATTTTTGAGCTTATGTCTGTTGTCACGAACCAACTTGACGGCCACTGCAAGCGTTTGTTCCCTCTTCTTGATCGTTCCTTCTCGTACTTCACCGTATGCGCCTTCACCAATAAGCTTTCCTAATTGCACATCACTATGATGAAATTCCCATCTTTGTTGAGAGATCGGATTTTTTAAAGTGAATTTAGCCTGAACAGAGGTGCTAAAGATGTGTTTACACAGAGGATAAAGAGTAGGCTTACTAGCTTTACCAACTTTATTCAACTGGGCTGTATTTGTTTGATAGTATTCTAGTAATTCTTTGAGCGAATCGAAAGGTTTAGCTATCTCCACGTAGTATTTTGAGGATAGCCTCCGAATAATAACATTCTTTATCTGAAAATTCGCGAGATAAACACCTTTTATCTCATATTCGGCAGCTATCACAATGTCCATCTTCCTGCACAGGCCAGCGTCAGGCTCTGGAATTCAGCGAATCGCTATTGGCGAGTCCGCAGTCGCTGGTAGCGCTGGATTCGCAAAGTCTGACACCGGCCTATATTGCACTTGTACTCTTTCCTGCTGTGCTCGCCTCAATTGCAAGTGCAAACACCATGAAGTGGACATTCGTACAAATGGGGGGGGGGGGGAGCGACCGCTCAGAGGCAGATACGCAGACAGGTCAGAGAGGAAGTCGCAGCGCATACTGTACTGCTTTAGCGTTACAATAAATAAATTGTGCAATAGTACGTCGCACATCGCACAATACGCGATGCGACTCGTCCGGCGACTCGTCTGCTCTCTGCCTTCTCGCCGCACGGACGGGGCCTCCTGCTCGGGCTGGCACGGAAGTGGTGCCCTTATAATGTATAGCCAGGAGAGTCTGGATACCTACTTACCGATTCAACGGCAAGGGCGGGGCTCAGCATAACTGAAGGTTCGCTCCCGTAGTAGAGAAGTGTGTGGCTCACACGCAGGAGGCGGGCTGCAGCCTTGCAATTAAGAAAAGCTCTAGGCGCTTAAAGGATGTTTTGATCAGGATTCGCCAAGGAACGACAGGGCCCGCCCACCGTTGCGGTATGCTATCTGCGCTCGCCAGTGTTGGGTCTGCTATGCTCTGATTTACTCGGGACTTTTTATCCTCGCCAGACTCACATTATCTTCTCATCTTTCTTGTCACCATCTATAGCCTTCCCGGCAGGTACAGCGAGCTCGTATTTCTTGTGTATTTCATTAATTTTTTTCCTTATTTCTCCACTTGCAGTCACTTCCATATCCACATCCCATCCCTGCTTTCATCTTGCGTGGCTTTACCATCATCCATTTGATATGTGATCCTTAATGCCCGCTATAAGATATCCAGTTCCGTCTCGGTTAGCGCGAAGACTTCTCCTTCCTTCCCCACACAACTTCTCCCTGATCCCCAGCTGAGCCACTGTCCTAGGAGGGGACAGGAAGGAAAGTGGGTTGGAGCCTTCTTGTCAAAAAGGGACAAAGCCTTAGGCAGGTGAGGAGACTCCATTGTGCGTGAGCAACTTTCATTCCCCCCAAAGTTCTTGCCTCCTTCTAAACCTAGACTAGAGGATGCCCCCGTATTTTGCGATGGCACCACCTTGATCTTTCTGAGGCTCAGTCCCAGTTATGTAAGTAATAGCTCATCCACTTGTACCCCTCCCTCCGCCTAACGAAATACAACGGCCAGGGGGTAATCCTATAACTGTCCTTTCACACTCATTTTAGGATCGGCGGAGCGTTATAGCAGGACCTACGCGACGAAAGCACGGTTGAATTACCAACAAAGCGACACCTAGGATAACAGAGTGGAGTATTCAGTGCTGAGGCACGTCAGAGATGCGAACGTATATTAGCATGATCAGGTAGTAAATGAGTAGGTTAGTAGGCAATTGCGCGAGTGGAGATAAAGGAAGCGGGATAGGTATCGGATTTGTTCGCTTTAACCTATTAGGTTGTCTCATAAGTAGTTGTCGCTTTTTTTCAACCCAAAAATTTTCATCTAAATCCTCATTCTTTTACATCTGTTCATATACCATTTCGAAAGAGAATCGTCTGCTCTACAAGATGCTATGTTCCCTTCCACCTCTGTTCCAGGGTTTTCAAATTTTAGGCCTGCGAAATGGGAGGTCCAGCCGACAAAAATTGACCAAACCGACAACTATCTCTAACTTTATCTTCCCTTGGAGAAATCAATCAATGATGTACCCTCTACTTATGCATGACCTCTTCTAAACATTACACTATTAGGTTTCCCAACAAGTCGCGTCATTCCATTTCCAGACCTGGTTTTTCAACCAGAACTCGACGGTCAAGCACCATTACCTGAGATCTAGGTCGAAATTTTTTTATAGCCGAGACATTGAAAAACTAGTAGAATTTAAAGAACAAGTCATGACTAAGTTAGGAATGTACGCCTGGTTGATTTTCTCATCTTCTCAGGGATAATTTTTTTCAAAGAAATGCGGTCACTTTCGTGGATAAAGCACCTTACTCCCTAAACACCTAAAATTCGAGCTAATTCCTAACAACATTAAAACAAAACAAATGAGCGAATAGAGCAGAAGAAGTGCTCACAAAAGATACACCAGTTGATATAAAACAATAGCGTTTCAGAGGAAGAATTTCAATTTGAAAATTGCCATGGCTTATCGGTCGGCCAATTCGAAAAGAAACAGGGCAAACCTTTTTCGGCAACCTAAGGGTGGAATGTTCAGAAGAGGTCATGAGTAAGTAGAGGGTACATCATTGATTGATTTCTCCGAAGGGAAAATAAAGTTAGAGCTAGTTGTCGGTTTGGTCAATTTTTGTCGGCGGGACCTCCCATTTCGCAGGCCTAAAATTTGAAAACCCTGAAACAGAGGTGGAAGTGGAACACAGCATTTTGTAGAGCAGACAATTCCCTTTCGAATGGTATATAACACGACGTAAAAGTGTTAGGATTTCAGATGAATATTTTTCGGTTGAAAAAAAGCGACATTATTTATGAGACAACCTAATAATCGCCATCTGAGCGCAGATGAAGATACATATCGTATGACTGTTGACTTCCAGTGAACCTACGCCACCTAGATCGATCATCAAATTGAAAAGCGCTTGACATGAGAAGCCAAGTATGGGAGAATGTAGAAACAACAGGCTTTCGATACCGTATATGTCAGGATGGAAGCCATCTGGCGCCGGGACGCCGTACGGTGCGCAACAACTGCGGTATCCCTGACGGAACCCAGGAGGCCCGATCGCGCGGCAAGAAGGCCGAGTCGGCGGACGAGTCGCGGCGCGTGATGTGCGATGAAGGACGTGCAATGGGACATTCTATTTAACATGACGCGATTCCTCATTTCCCTAGTACGCGCGCGACTCGTCCGCTGACTCGGCATTCTTGCCGCGACGGGCCTCCTGGGGGGTACCGTATCCCTGCCGCCCCGTGCACATTCGTTTTTGGCGTAGCTAGGATGAGATATCACGCGCGTATCGTCTCATCCACGTATCGTTTGCTGCAACACTGAACACAGCGCCGTGAAGTCCTTCACTATTGTTCACACACGGTGTTTCTTGTGGAAATGCTAGCTGCTTACCTTTCCCGGTTGGGTGGGGGATGCCAATACTGGAGATGCAGCCTCGGCGGAAGGTGGCACGTCTACTAGAACAGAAAGTATGATAGCTCTTTTGTTCATCATGTCAGGTTCCACCTGAAAAGATAGGAATTTGGAAAGCATATTGGGTGCTCATGTCATTAGGGGGGGGGGGGGGGGGGGGGGGGGGGAAAAGGGACACTCAAGGGAATGACGCACTCACAGTAACTTTGAGCTAACATAAGCCTTATGGAAGTGATGTTCAGTTGCGATCGTACGCGCGGATCGGCGATTAGGCTTGCCTTATCGCCTACTGCGCACTTGGCAATCGCGCTAATCGCCACACAATCGCGTAATGGGAGCGCTTCATATTGGCGATCGTGCGTGCGATTAGGCGATAGGCGAGTAGGCGAGTAGGCGATCAGGCGATGAGTAAAGGATACGTATCGATTAGGCGATTAGGCGAGTAGGCGAGTAGGCGATTAGGCGAGTAGGCGATCAGGTGATATCTGGATTGTATGCAACACTTTGACAAAGATCTGCTTTTACCAAATAGTAGCTAAGTCGTCCAGTGTGATGGTGAAGAAGGTAATATGCATGTGGCTCAATCTTGTTGACGACATAAGGGTGGCGCCAGTTGTGCAACATCGGCCTAAATCGCCTAAATCGCCTAATCTGCGCTACTCGCGTCTGATCGCCTACTGCGCCACTCGCCTGATCATGATACAGTAATATTTTTCACTTTGGTAGAGCGCTAATATCGCCTAATTCGCAAGCTATTCGAACACGCTCCTTAAACTAATGAGCGCCCATCTCAGAGAAGGAAGGATGGCCTGGGGTCGGATGTGGATGTCATTTGATCCCTAGCGTATCTAGATCACAGGTCTTATTCCGTGTTACTTAAACCCTCGTGTGAGCCCCCCCCTCGTAAGGCCATTAGAAGTCCGGTTTATTAACTGACCGCTGAGGCCAACTAACTAGTTTTGTTCCCCGCCTATCCCACTTCACTGCACGATAAAGTAACTCTCCTCGTTTTTGGTAATACAAACAGCACAATACTTCACGTTGTAGACTAAGCCATGATAGTAACTCTCAACTCTTTGAAGGCGTTCTTGCAATATGTAGTTCAGGTGCTTCGTCCATTCGACATCGTGAAGAACACCTGCCTCCAACCTTCTCTTCTTCTTTCTCTTCTTCGGCCTTCTTCAACAGTTCCGCATCAACCGGATCATTTGCTGCCATTTGGTGGTTAGTTCCGAATTAAAAAGTGACTCACTCCTACCGACAACGCCTTACTCATAGACTCATCAAAACAATCATTGCACTTCATTAACACATGATCATTATCCAGCCGTTTATCATTCTTGATCATTGCTGCCGAATGTTACGTAACACACAGTGCGGCGAGCAGAATATTTGTTCGGCTTCTGGTTTTGAGAATTAAGGCTTCTTGGGCAGCCATAAGCGTTGCGTCCGGCAAATCCATGGAATTCGAGCTCAAATATAACCATTAAAGCAACAATCCAGGAACGAATTCGCGGGTAAGGACCACCTATAATGACGTTGCAGGTGAGAAGTTGGTCAATGGAGAAAGAAAAAGTAGAAAAAAACGTCGGGCAGGGGCTTAGACAGGGACTCCCCCTGCCGTTTAGGGAGACGTGTGTTGGACGAGTTGTCCGAACCTGCCCGTAGTACATGCGCTCCAATTGCAACTGCTGGCAAATAGCTGCATGCTTGCAAATACATAACTATTTGCCAGCAATCGAAATTGAAGCGCTTCAATTGCGTTCTTATGGAATCGACCTCATACAGCGCGGCGGTCCCGCAACGACCGCTAGTCAAGCACGGACTCTGCACAGCGTATGTTGA